CATCCATCCATCCACACACACACACATAAACAGGATGCGGTTTTATGGCCTCGCATTCGGCTTCCGTTGGCATTCCGAGTTTGCAGTGAGCTGCGGCTTGGAACCGTTAGGTTCCGTCGACCCCTTATGCCCGAAGCTAATACGTGCCCAAGGTTTCTGGACGTGGACGGTGTGCTTCATGCCTCAGCAGCTGGGCTGCTCTTGCGGTTTATCTGTGCTTTTGGGTTTTGGAGAGGTTTGTGGAGCGGCCAGCTGGAAGGGACTTTGACGGAATCGGGATGGCTCCGCTCGGAGGACGGCATTCAGCGCTTCAATGAGACCTCGATGCACGCGCTGCGCTGCCTAGCAGCCCGGCTCAGCAGAGAGATCTTGGGAGGGCTCGGAAGACTTAGCTCGCCACGCCTCGATGCAAGAGTGTTCAGATTAAAAGATGTCCTTTTCTTGTCGCAAAGCCAGATTGGCAAGGTGCAAGGTGTCAGGTTGGGAGGATCGGACCTGTGGTGCTTGGCAACTAAACTCCCCATCCACGCCAGCGAGTGGCTGCGCAGCTGCTCTCAAATGACATGTCCGTCAACGGAAGCTACTTAAGACAAGCAGGCGCACGTCACGAATCATGTCGTAAAGATCCCAACTTCAGACACCAACAGCATTTCCGAATCATGCAGAATGCCGTTGTATCCCATTTAGGCAGGACCGTACAATTCTCAAAATAAGTCGGAGGAAACCTTCTGATTTTCGTCTCCCTTGTTGGAACCCAGGTGCTAAGCTGCAACGCAACCGTGATTCTCAGCTCTGCCTGGTACCTCGCCACATTCGTCTCGCAGAAAGTCAGATGGGGCTGGGGTCAGGCAGGCGAGCCGTCTCCGTGGCGGTAGCTGTGGGTTCCAAATTGTGAAGTTCGTGTTGGGATGCCAAGAGATCTGAAAATGGTTCTACCGGGTTCGGGTTGTCGCCGTTGTCGCATGAAGCCGATGAGAAGGCGATTTGCAGGACTCTGCGCATGTTGCGTCGCTGTCAGAGCTTAAGGCGCCGCTCTCCGCGCCAGCTGGCGCTGGCCGACAGCATGCTCCGGAGCCACGGCCTGGCAGGCGGAACCGCCCTCCAGCAAAGTGGCCATCGATGTCCAGTTAGGGCTTAGGGAGTTGGCTTAAAGGCTTTTTGAGTGCTTCAAGGCTTTGCCTTTCTCTCAAGTCCTTCAAGAGATTGACGCCGCAGCCCTTTCGCCCCGTTTCACTTTCATGACTGCATGGCTCGCCGTTGTGGCCCTTCTTCCTTCGATGGCAGAAAGCATCGAGATCGAGATGGGCCCTGAGATGCGCAGGTGGGTCATGACCTGGCCACAGGCCAAGCGGAGTTTCAACAAGATGAGCGACTTTGACTTCGCCTTGGATCCAGGTTGTGAGACGCTGCCTGGCCCAGTGGAATGGCGAGCCGTCGCCGAGCAGGTTCGCACCACGACAGACTGCCTGGCAAGAGAGGAAGGCTTGGGCTTGGAGCACTTCACCCTCCATGTAACGCCATGCCGGGAGCCGTTGCAAGCGAACGCTGAACAGATTGACACTTTCAGAGACGTTGACTCGCGGTACAGCTCATGGAGAAACGATTGCTACTTGGGTTGGTTGAGTGTCTTCCTGTGCGACGTGGTGTGCACTCTGCACGAAGCACTCGCAGGGAATCAAGTCAGCCATGAGAAATGGCCACAGAAGTGGAAAAGACGCAGCTGGAGCTCGAAGGCCTCTTTTTCTATTTAGAGGCGCCTTGGCAAAAACGCCCAAGCCCCAGTCACAGTAAGAAAGACTTCACTGCATCCTGGGCAAAGCTGAGGTTCCCTGGCACATCGTGGCCTCTCATCACTGGCCCCTGACCGGGCTTCTGGCGCGGCTTGCGAAGGTCCCTGAGTTGCGCTTGGGTCTGAGCTCTTGGGGTCGGGGATCCCAGTCCCCCGTACGAAGGCCATGCAGATCGGAGAGGGCGGCGAAAGCAGGCAGATGAACCTCTGCGATCAGGCAGACGAGGCGGGGCCTGATCTGGCGCAAGTTTTCGAAACACTAAGTAGTCCAAGCAGAAAAGAGTCGGACCTTGTGCCGACGGAGAGGCGGTTCATCGGGCAAATGTACAAAGAATCTCACATTCCGGCTAGGACCGCTAGGATTTAGGCTCCAAGTAACTATGCAAGCTATTCCAACCAGCTATTAGATTGTATTAAGACAGAGAACTCACCTTTGAGTTTAGGGGGGTGCTTAGTGTGCAGGTTTTTCGGCTGGCACCCCAAAATCCTGTCCAAGCTGAAAACAATAATCTTGGACAGTGTTCAGAAGATGGGGTATGTTCTGGCTCTTTGCCACTCTCCCCAGAGGAAGGATTGATGAATTTATTTGCCGGAACTGTTTGTTAGTTGCGCATCCTCAGGTTAATAATCCCGGTCTACTCATGTTAACCCAATTCGCTTCAGTTTTGCCTTTTTTGGCCAGGATTTAGCAGCTAGGAGAGAAACGAGGCAGCATGGGGAAATCGAAGTGACGAGGCCTATTTTCAATTCGCGGCTTGATTTTTGCAATATGGGCAGGGCTTCAGGCTTAGACAAGCCATGCCCGTTACTGGTGAGCATGTGCTACCTCATTGTGCTTTCAAGAGTGGGGTCATCTCGCTGCCGTTCATGTAACTTAGATTCCCAAACATCGCATGCCACGCACGGAGAAATCGACACGTGACAGAGCTTTGTCAGGTCATGGACGATGCGATGTACAGAGCTGGCCTGGTGTGGTGGCGGGAGCATCCTACTGAAGATGCTGACACACCCTACCTGCCCCTCCATGTCGCCCAAGAGTTCATTACATCTGAAGTGTTGAAGCCGATGATGCAACCGTACCGTTGCACCTTCGGAGCCGCGGCGGCATTGCTGTCCATCGTCGTTCTGGCTCTGAAAGCGAACTTGCTTGAAGGGCTACCTGATGGACCGACCACGGGAAGATCCCCACAAACCTTGCTGTCTGCCGAAGCAGAGGTCATAGTGAAGCTCTGGGAGGAGAGGTCGCATCAGTTTGTCTACGACATGCTCACCAGCCACTGGCGCATCCCGCAAATACTTGAGCAGATTTCAAGGTTGTGGCCGCAACCGCAGTCACCACCGAGTTGGCATGCCTGGACACCCTTCTCGTCCACCCGCCGTATCCTCTTCCTCGGAGGTGGTGATACCACCTATCAGTGGGGATCCTTCACCGTTCGTGGCAGGCAAATGGCCAGGGGACTCCGCAAGCATAATATCGATGCCAGAGCTTGGAACTGGCCTTGCAAGGAGTGGTGCAACATCGAGCATAGATGGAGTCCTACAAGCATCGTTCATGTGAAATTCATGTGCTTGTGTGCAGTAAGTGCCTGGCCCCATGCGGTCCACATCTTCGACCCAGTGGATACCTTTGATGTGCTAGACAACGTAACAGAAATGGATGCCATCCTAGTGCAGACATCCTTGTGCAAGCGAGACTTGGAGTTTCATCCAGCGCTGCGTCCCCTGCTCGCCTCTGGGCAGTTAGCAGTGCACTGGCTGCCACATCACCACGCAAACAAGCACAACCTGCTAATTGACGCATCCGCAGATGTCGCGCGGGTGGGTGTGCACACGATACACTCGGACATTGAGTTGCAGCAGCAAGTTGAGGAGTTCCTGGAAGAGTACTCTAGACAACCCGGGATATCGACCGTGCCCGAGTTTATCCACATGGATCCTACGAAGTTGTTTCTACATAACGACGGCAGGGTAACGACTCCGCAGCACACGGACGCCGTGTACCAACAGCTGACTACGCTGCAGATCGGCTTCGCTAAACAGTCGGGCTGTCGTTCTGAATGGTTTTTCTGCAGCAGGTGGAAGACTGGCCAGCGTCTCTTGAACCCAGACTGCTTTTGCACATGTTTTTTCTGTAATTTGTAAGCCTCGTTTCAAATTCGCAGTGTCTAGAGTCTAGAATCTTCTAGAACAGCCCAGAGAAGCAGCGAAGGAACATGATGAGTGTGGGGATGCCTAGCATCGTTTGGGGCGATGCGCAGGGTTATCTGGACGTGGTGGAAGGGCTCTGGCCTCCGGATGTGGGTGGAGATTCAGCGGAAAGAAAGGCAGATGCCTATCCACAGCAGCTTATCGTTGGCTCGGATGCAGATGTCCCGGATGCTCTCGGGGCGTTGTTTAATAATGCCTCCTTGAGAATGGAGGCATCGCAAAAGGGCTTGAGGCTGGCTGAGCGGTTTAGCTTGGACAGGATTGTGGACCGCTTGGACGCAATCCTGCTAGCCGCAGAGATGCGCAAGTCTCATCAGACAAGCCATTCCAGAAAGATGATGCTTCAGGGGTGAGTGTCATGTTGCCTGGTTCGTGGGGCTCATGGGAGTCACAAGGCAGAAAGCCTAAGCCTTCGAGTCTGCCTCCAGGTCTCCTAGGCCCTCGGTCTGAGGCATGTTTCGGGGCTTTGCTGGGCCTTCCCATGCCTTTGCGAGCCTCCGAAAATCTCCGACCACACGCAACCCCAAGCCGCCACGAAGTCGCCCAGGTTGGCCGGGCTAAAGGCTATTGTAAAAGCGTTATAGCTACAGGCGACCTTCGAGAAGCAAGCTGACACCGATTCGCCAGGAGTGGCGGACTCCACCCCGGACTTGCGAGATCTTGGTCGGAGCAGGGAGGACGCCCGCGTGGGAACAACACCTTTGGGGACTCTGTGTGTCTACTCCTCAGAATCCTGAGCTGCTTGCAGGATGAGATTCTTCTGTGGCTCAAGCGGCACCCAGAGGTGCCCTGCAAGGGGAGGAAGACATGTGTGTTTCGGAGCTAGATGTCAGCCGTTGGGTCTGGGTTTGCTTGGAGTGACTTGAAGCTCGGTTCTCCCCGTAGCCTCGTGGCTTTCACCATGGTATCTTCCACTTTCCACGCCTTTTGGGGCACAGGTTATGAAACTCCGCACGCGTGCCACAACCGAAGTACGTCGTCGGTTCCCCGCCCCCCCCGCGACGGTTCGAGCACTTCAAGAGTCAAATCATATCAGCTCGGTTGACATTTTTCGCAAGTTGCTGGCATGTGTATATCCAGGGCATTTGGTGTACGTGGCAGGTGAGACATTGGGTGGCGCTGGATGATTTGGATTTGGCGCCGATGAGCTCGCCGCACAGGCCGGGAACAAGGAAAAAAAAGATCAGCCTGCGACCAACGAGACAGTCAGATGGTTTTTAAGCCTAACCTGGGCCGGTCTCAATCTTACTTGTAGGGCCTTTGGCGCTGTTACTCTCGACGTGAGCAGGCGGCTTATGATCCCCCACTTCGTGAAAACCGACCCGGAGCACCTTTGCGGCAGCAAAGGTTTCGGGGCCATTGCTTGAATGAGGTTCCTTGATACAGCATGGAGCTGACTGGCGGAATGTGTGCTCCGGGATGTAGGGCTGAAAGTGATCGCTGTTGGTGATGCGAGATTGTCGGTCATGTGGAAACACAAGCCCCACGCCCAAGAGTGGAAGCCTGAAGGCACGGCTTGAAGGAGCCGGGTGTGGCGAAAGCACTGCGCCTGCTTCGAAATCCCCGCGGGTGTGTGGAGGACAGCAGACTTAGAACAGACTTTGAGTGTTTCGAGAGGCTGTTTTGCGGATCGATCGTTGAGGTCAAGGCTATGTTTGCAAAAGATAATGCTCAAGTCGACAAGTTGCTGCAGGTTTGCATCCGGTTCTCTGTGTGAAGGCTTGCAAGGTGCTCGGAGAATCCTGATGCTCCGGCGTACTCTGCACTTCCCAGCCGAAGCAACCCTGTGAAGGTTTTAGTGGAGCGGGTTCAGCTGAGGAAAACTCCATAGCTTGGGCCTGGGAAAAGGGAGCCAGCAAATGGGGTGCTGGAGATTACGGTGTAAAAGGTTTGAGGATTGGGCTGAGGGTTTAGGGACAAGGATCTGTTTACAGCTTAGGGTGTAGGGATTCGGGTTTAGGGTTTAAGGTGGGAGTCCCTGGCACGCTGCCAATTGGCAGCTTCTCGCAGCTTCTCGCAGCCTCTCGCTGTCGCGGCTTCGTTGCCACCGGCACTGCGAGGAGTCACTTTCCAGAGCCCATGCTCAACGCATCGCTCGGGCGAAGCCGTTTCAGCTCTGTGCCTGACCAGGCCAGCAAACTTCGATCTCATCAGGACTTATGTACCTTCATGATGGTTCTGAGAATGACAAAGGGCTCTTCAAGAAATTGCCTTGCCGTGTTCTTGCGCTTGTTTTCAGCAGCTACTGCTTTACTACTTATCTCCTCGATATCAGTATTGCTCCTCCTCCTCCTCTCCCTCCTCCCCCTGGGCTGCTGCCACCACCATCGCGGCATTAGCAACAACGTCAGCAGCAGCAGCAACAACAACAACAACAACAATCAATACATGTATAATGAGTATGTATGTATGTATGTATGTTTGTATATATATATATATTTATAAGTATATCGATGCAGTGCATAAATATGTCAATAATAAATGCAAGAAATGTCAATAGATAAAGATAAGTAGTTAACTAAGCAAATAAATACATAGATTAGTAGTAACAAGCAAATAAACCAAGAAACTGATAAACAAGCAAACAAATAAATAAACAACTAGATAGATAAATGAAAAAGTAAGCAAGTCAGTATATCTTTACACACTTATGTGTATGTGTATGTCTATGTGTATGTGTATGTATATGTACATGTGTGTGTATGTATGTATGTATGTATGTATGTTTGTTTGTTTGTTTGTTTGTTTGTTTGTTTGTTTGTTTGTTTGTATGTATGTGTTTATACATGGTATGTGTACATGATGTTTCTCTAGTTGTGCATCCCTGCACAGTGTTATTTCTTCAGTCCTGCGATCGACTATTAATAAAGCATAATGCCAGTCGTTTTGCAATGTGTGACTTTGACGCCATGCTGTCACGCGCAATGTGTACTCGTACAATGGCCGGGAATTGTTCGGACATCGCAGGTTCCACTGCTAGTGCGACGCCGTTGGTGGTCGTTTCGTTGTCATCATCATGGTAGTGTCGTTGCGTCGTCTCATAGGCTGTTGCCCTCGACATATATTCTATCAGGTACTGATTTGTTAAGCCATGATGATGGCAGTTCTGACGGATTGTTCTGATTCATGATGATTATGATGACTATGGCGACGATGACGGTATGATTCTGCTGAGGATCGCGACGCAAGCTACACGATTTCAGCATTAGTCTTTGTATGACGTGAGCGGTCTGTTTCTTCCTGCCACCATGCAGTGCGTTATGTCGTATTCTCTATTGAAGCTTCTGTCTTCGGGGCCCAAGACTTCGAATGAACCCCTGAATGAGATCCATGTAATCGCGAAGGCTGGACCGCCTGGTGCTCGTGAGCTCCCGGCTGTGATTGGCGCAAGTGTCAGGATCGACGGCCTATGATTCCAATGTCAGGGTTTGTGTAGTGTCGGACTGTGGAGCAAGCCATAGGCGGGAAATCGAAAATCTTGCTGGTAAATCTTCAGGCATCCTAGGAGCAACACTGCTGCGTAGAGGCATAGATGCCGCCATCCCCTTGGGCTCCTTTTTCCTTGGCCCAGTCACGGTGGCGCACGCCCTCCTGGCGAAGGCCTCTCAAAGGTTTGCCCCAGCTGTACAACGAAAGAGCCTCAAGTGTGCACTTGATCCCTAGCTCAAAGATCTGGTTGTGGAAAGAGCCACATCTTCGAAATTCGGAGACGTCAAGTAGGTTTACAGCCGTGCACAGGGCAGCCCTAGAGCGCCATGCTGGATGGGACCCGCAGCGGTGCCGTAGTGGATTTGTTGCTTCAATCCACGCCGGCTTCCGGCTTCCGAGGCAACGAGGTCCTGAGCCCCGGCCTCCAAATCCGATCGAAAATGGTTCAATTTGAGGGCGCGGAGGATGAGCCTGGAGGGAGCTTCAGTGTGAACAGAGGTGTTGAAGGTGCTGAATGCAGTTCCCTCCACAGGCCATCCTTGCCTGCCCTCGGCAATTTGAGGGAGCAAAGGATGCTCTGAACCTGCAGGTTTTGCGTGAGGCGCTTTGCGAAGTTCTGGAGCCTCGCCGATGACCGATGTCTGAAAGACAAGTTGCGGGGTCTAGGCCTAGGCATTTTGTGCAGCGGGCAACCCAAGTTACAACTGCATGGCTGTTGTGCGAACTGTCGCGCTTATCACTGATCGGGTCGCAGCGAGAGGTACAGCTGCAACGACGGCATCTGCACGCTTGTATTGAGTTTCGGGAAATCTCAGTGTAGTAGACCACCTGGTTGCCACCAAAGCAAAGTCAACAGGAGTGAAACAAGCTTGTGGCTTCATCAACGAAGTGAAGCAACCACGAGTGAGGGTCAACCAAAGCAATAAGGAAGGGCTCGGAGGATGGTTTTGGTGTAGGCTCATCTCCGCATCGGTCAAGATCGCCTTGAGGATTCCAGAGGTGATTCAGTGCATGATTTCGCGCCCTTGTCAACCCGACAGGCATGCAGTGGCAACAAGGAAAAGAGATGGGGCTCCTGCGTGTGAGCTGTGCCATGACATAATCGTGATGTTGCTTGGCTTTTTGTGCGAACTATTCTAGTGCCTACCCCAAGCCGTTGCCATGATGAAGGCCGAAAGTCTGTGCAAGCCTTCTGCAGGCGGATGCCTTGAAGGAGAGCCAGGAGTTCGTGGCTGAAGTGAGGGCCTTGTGTTCTGGAGATCCAGGCAAATATGAGCTGTGAACGGAAATCTGCCACTACTGAAAGATCGTTAGACAACCAGAACGTGGAGAGAGGGAGATGCAAAAGACTTTGAACGCATTTGTAGGGACAAAACAGAAAGGGCAAGAGCGTAGGTCTTGCAAGCCAGAGTTAAGGGCCAGTTTCGGAAGGCTGGGGGCATGCTGAAGGTCAGAGGGTGGACAGGGCGTGTCAGAGAGGGGAGCCAAGCGAAAGAAAAGGCAACACGGTAGTTTCACCAACCGGCGTGCAAGAATACAGGGAAAGCAAGCATGTAAGATAAAGCTGCGCGTAAATCTAACGTGTTTTTCATACATAAAGCTCGAATGCCTACACATGTCCGTCCTTTCTACATGTACGTACACACACATCTGTATACTATATGTGCATTTATGTGTATGCATATACACACAGCCGCACACATACTTGCAATCCCGCTACATGCATGCGTATGCGCATATGGGCATGTATGTTTGTATTCTGTTCGTATTCGGTTCATGCTTAAACACCTACGAGCATGCCTACCTACTACCTGTATCATTATCTGTAAAACCCACCTACCCACCTACCTACCTACCTAACTACCTACCTACCTACCTACCTACCTACCTACCTTCCTACCTACCTACACCTACGCATGCATGCATGCATGCATGCATGCATGCATGCATGCATACATACATACATACCGCGCCATACACAAGTACATTGCATTGCTGTATGACCGGTGGCCCTCATGCTGCCTGCATGTCTACGGGCTTATTGCTTCTGCTGCAAGTATGTCAGGTATTGCGAAAAAAATCGCCGCTTCGTGTCTTGAAGCGGGCGCTCGAGAAGCCAGAGAGTTTCGCATTCTAGCATGGGATTTGAAGCCTATGCCGACCGAGAGTTACTTTCACGTCGGAAAGATCCTGGTTGGAATCCCAAATCTCGGGCTTTCCCAAGCTAACGCCAAGAACGCCACCGAGCGGAGGCACACCGAGTGGCTCAAGCAATGCTGTCGGAGGTTGGACCTTGGGACAATCCGGGCCTTGACGAGTGCATTCCAGCGAAAACATCGGTGTTTGTACAAGCGTTCCTCGCCATCCTCATCATCATGCCGTCATCTTGAAGCACATTTCTGCTCCGGATAGTCAGCCTTTCCTCGCATTTGCAATCGTGGCCATGGGTTTGGTAAACAGTGTCTGGATTGCTATCGCTGCGGTTATGGGTACTTGTATCAAGCTGACGGCGACAGCAACCACTATCAGCAACAAAAATAGCACACAAGGAGTCTCAATGAGACCATTAACAAGAGCAACACCATCATCAGCAGCGAAAACCAACGGCATAGGCACCGACAATCGCAGTTGTAGAAGTAGCAGCATCAGCAGCATTTGCAGCACTAGCAGCAGCCGCCGCAGTAGCAGCAGAAACAGCAGCAGCAACAGCAACGAAGCCATAATAGAAATGCCGACCGCACCAATGCTGACTATCAGTACAAGACTCTTCGCCGTCTTCCTCGTCCTCCTCCCTTTCCCCGTCGTCCTGCTCGTGCTGGTACTCCTACTCCCACTCGTAATCCTTCTTGTGCTCCTACTTGTACTCCTACTAGTCCTCCGACTACTGCTACTACTACCTGGTTACTACCTCCACCATCACCAGGACCACCACCGCCACCACAACCACCACTCGCTACTTACCGCTACTCAATGCTCACTGCTCGCTACTCACTACTCACCTCTGCTACTACTACTACTTCTTCTTCTACTACTACTACTACCACAACGACGACTTCTACTACGACGACGACTACTACTACTACTACTACTACTACGACGACGACGACGACTACGACTACGACTACGACTACGACCACGACCACGACTACGA